AAGGTCACAATGAGCTTTTCCCCGTCTTTTTACTTGAGATCAGGGAGAAAGGAGGCTAGCAGCCCCTATATCAGTTCACAGCTGCTGTGCAACTGCTCAACAGGAGAACACAGCAAGGGGGCCTCTGCACTGATGTGACAGGTGAGCCAGCCAGCAAGTGCAAGCAGACCCTAGGTACCCGTACATATGTACTAATATGTTGGTCCGGGATGCAATGTTTCAAGGTTTCTGCCCCTCATCAATGCTTCCCTACCTGTGCCTCACAAAAAAAAGAAAAAAAAAAAGAGAACAAGACAAAACAGGGGGGCAGTCTCTCACCTAAATCTCGCACGTTACTAAATAATGAACGCATTAACCACGACGTCCTCTCACTTACAGGCACCAATACTTTCAAGAGTCTTCTCATGGGGATTTCCTCGGCACCATTTGTGCAATAGACCCATGATCCAAAATTAGCATAGGGAATACAGGTTACTCACTGGATTTCCTACAGACGTGGCACAAGGCCTACATATACTGGTACATGTATAATTGATGGCATCTTGCCTTCATGCTCAACACACTTGTACATGTACACTGTACATCAGGTCAAACAAAATAATACCAGTAGTTGTGCTTCCTATTACACTAAAAAAAAAAAGTTAGGTAGTATCTTTTTTTTCTTCTAAATTTTTGGGCCAAAAATTTAAGCCTTGGAATTTTTTTTTTTAAAATTAAAAGTGATGGTTCTTGAAAAATTTTCAGTTACGTACACAAGAGAAATTAACTCATGAGAAAACATGCATTTTTAAGCCCCAAAAAATGGTAAAAATCTAAAACCATAAAGCTTTGTGTATAAAAATAAGAACAAGGGTCGGCAAAAGTATTTTTTATTTTCCAATAAAAGATTTAGAGTTGGTGCGATTTGCTAGGTTGAGGAGGGTAATCAGAGGCACAACTAGCCTTATATGGGCATGTGTATGAACAATCAACCAGAAGGTTAAGCCTGTAATTAATAGTACTAAAGGACCCACTAAATCTAACCCAGTGAGGCATTATCCCGAGTACACCGTACCTTTGTTTTCAGATTATTTTGTAATGTACAGACGAGAAGCATCGGCATGGCTATGTACACATCATCCGCAAAAATACCTTCAAGCAAATTGTCTTGCCCAAGAGCAAATGCTAATAGCAATTTGCCACACACCTATCCTGCAGAGTATCTTTCCGCTCATTACAGCAGAGAGAATATCCAGGCAGCTTTCCCAACCTCCCCCCTTGGCTCAATTCTACAGACCGCATGGGGCCCCCTAATTAATCCAGTAGCATGTGAAAAAAAAAAAGGTCAGAGACCATCTCGGCTTGAAACAACTGAGGCATGGTGGGGGGGGGGAGCCGGTCAAGCTACATCAAAGAATATAAACCAATACCTAGGGTGTGGATAATTTCTAAAATGTTATCTGGGGCCAAGCTGACATCAACATTCCTGGCATTACAAGATGAGGTTGAGATATTCCAGTAATTAAAAATCCTGTTTTAAAACAACAAAAATCAAACAGGAAAAGACCATGCCTGCATTTTCCCCTTAAGAACTCAGTTCCTAAATCTAACTACATTAAAGTTACTCNAAGTTAATATAAAATGTAGGATGGGTAACATAAAAAAATCCCCCCCCCCGGAAAAAACCCAATGAGATAAGATATATAGGGAGAGCACACTGTACAGTATATGTCCAGGTACATGTATGTCCATTGCAACTTTGTCATCTCAAAATCTATAGTGCAGTACATGTGTAATTGTTGGATCTTTGCCACACAAGAGGCAAAAATTGACATTTATAATGAGTTCCCTTTTTATGGAAGTATGACTTACATGTACATGTACGTACAGTACGTGTACATGAAGTACATGAAATACCAGTTATCCTGTTCAGCTCACAGCCTTCACATGGGCTTGAAAGCAACACTTTGTCCTATTTTTTTCCACATGAAAGGATCTTTTCATCCAGACACAGATCAAGAATGTGTAGTTCTTCAGTGCCTCTTGAGAAAGGAAAAAAAAAAGGACACCTGACTATTAACAATAGGGCCCAGGTACTGGGTATCCAGCCCTGACCTTGCCTGGGGGCGGATCAAGGAGTGGGAGGAGGATTAGCAGGGAGGAAAAAAAGAAGTTCCCTGAATAGCCCTGACATTCCAGAGGCGGCTGGCCATGACAGGGTCAGGCAAGGTGGACTGTGGGACATTCAGGATGAGAACGTATTTGTGACCAGCTCTAGAAAAATGGGTAATAAGTTGCCAGATTCAGGTTATGAGTTTTTGATATGGTTGGATGTATCAAAAGCTACAATCTGATGTATGAATGACCCCTGTAGTGTGCTGCATGCTGGAGAAAGACATTTGCATATCAACATTTTCGGATTGAATAAAATTAAAAGCACTTTTCGAGAAAAAGCTCAGAAAGTGTAGCACTTGGAGACACAATGCTATATAGGGTTTCTTGAATGATCAATTTTTCATCTTTATTCATCAGTCTCCATGTTTGTAGTCACAAATTCTGAAAAATACATGTACATGTATAAATATTAAAGGAAAACCACAAAATCACATTTTTGAAGAAAGTTTGCCCTCTCCAAATAGAACAAGCCATTACGTGTTTTGGCATTGCAAGGCGTACATATAATACCCTTTTTTTTGCAGAGCGTGTCACATTTTACCAGACACCTTTGGATGGATAACAAGGCTGGAATAAAGGCTAGAGGATACATAAATAAATAATGTACATGTAGGTACAGAGTTATAATTCCTCCATCCGAGCAATCAAACTTGTGGTCCAGTTTAAAATAAATTACCTCTGTGCATGTTTGTGAGGCTACTGGTTCTAATCCCAGTAGAAGAGCAGTCTTTCTTTTTTCAAAAATGCAATTTTTTCCTTGACAAATATTTTTTTCAATCAGTTACCACTGCAATTGCAGATTTTATCTTTTCTTTGTGGTTCAATTAATGGGATCACTTTTTTTCCCAAACGGGAGGTAAAGTCCAAAATTTCAAAAAGGGAAGCAGTGCCATGACTGCAAAGGGCACAAAGACGAGTCTCCTCCTAGAACTGGCAATAAAAACCATTTTTTTCTGAAGGAAAGTACAGGGTGTATCCCGATTGTTGTTTACAAAAAAATATCTAGCATCCGGGACCTGTTGCAGGTAAAGCCACTCCTTCATGTGGGGGAAGAGTCTTTCTCAAGCAGATTGGCATTGGTGGGCTCACTACACAATAGACTTTGGTTTCAGTACTGAAAATAACTACATGTAGGCACAGCATTGGCAATTGGACACCTACAGCGTATATGTATATGTACCCTATGTCTTTGTCATTCAATTTCTTTTCTTACAAAGCCTGACAAATCCTTGATGTCACCTCAAAGAGGTTCTTGGGCCAGGCTTCAGGGTTCAGTTCAAGGTTCCTTTCCTGGAAATTAGGTTGTGTTTCAATTTTTGGACAGCTGGAAAAACAAGGTCACATCCTGTCAATACCACAGCATTGATTTCTGTATTGTGTATCTCGGTAAAATTGTCATGGCAAAGAATCCCTTTCAGATGACAGGAATCCAAGTAACACAGGGAGACATTTTACACACTTTTATTCACTTGTTACGGCCAAGACCAACCGCAGTCAGGACAAAGCTTAAAACTTACAACAAAAATACCAGTACTTTAAATCACATTTTTCCATGCTCAAGTGTCTCAGGTGAAAAGGGTGTGCTGTTTCAACATGTGCCGACATTTTACCAAATGTTTGATTGCCTTCCACCAATGGAATGTTTCGAGCATCATGTACATATTTAGAGCTGTCTAAGGGAGTGCAAAAAAAGAGAAAAATCATAATTGTTCTTAGGTTGGATGTGAACCCAAGACCTCCTGTGTATCAGTGAAGAGAACAACCCACTACAGAACTCATGCTAAAATGTAGAACTTAACCAACCCCAAATTCCTTCCAAAGCCACTGCCAGAGGTATATGAGTCTACACAAAGGACCTAGTGCAATCAAATACTGAAGAAGTTGGTATTCTCCAATGCAAGGTGCCAGCAAACATTGGAGAATTAGGTGTTTCCACTTGCAAAGTAGCTGAAGTGCTTTCTTACGCACGTAAGAAAACAGGGTGCCCAAGATGACTGAACAGGTATCCAACAGACACCCAAGTCCCCCTCTAAAAAATTGCTACTGGTAAAGCATTGGAGCTAACACCAATTAATAACAAGATGGGGGCATGCCACTAGACCAAAGATGGAGGTGAACAAGTGCAAAGACCTACGGCTGCATCTGAATCTGTTGTCTTGAGCTACCGGTAAGTCTGGGTCTTTGCTTCATTGGAAATATGCAAAGATGCAGAGATGCATACAAAGATGCAAAGATATGATAAAAGACACAGCTGTATTACTAGCTTGGGAAGCCCATTTTAGATACCCATTTGTCTGAAAACCAATAAGGGACAGGCAGTTGTCCTCTCCAAGGTACAGCTACGACCAAGAAGTCTTGGCTCCAGCCGCTATGACGCATTCATTTATGGGCAGGAAATGGAGCCACATCCCTGGCTTTGTGCTGCTGCTGGGTTTATTGTCAGCAGCTGGCAGTAACACACGTGTCTATGGGAAACATACGCTGCTTGTGCAGACATTTCTTATTTTCCCTGAAAAAACCTCAGAGGAAATACTTATTTTTCTTCCACTTCGAAGATTGCTCCAAGTTAGATATTTGATAATTTCCTTTCCCATTTGTCATTTTCCCCAAAATAACCCTAGCCCCCAAATATCTCTAAAAGCTTATTTCCCAGAGAAGAAAAAGCATCGCGTGGACCTGTGCAAGTCTACATGTCTTCACACCCTACATTACGAGGTCTTATTTCGTCCTCAGTTCTGCACACAGTACCGGTACACTGTATGTCCAAACGCTACGCCCAGCTGCAACCAAGACTTATTTTGGGGATGGAGCTCTAACATCTCTCTCGCTCCTCTAAGTAATCTTACCTTCAGCTGCGCCTCAATGATACTCTCCAGCTCCTCCCGAAAGGCCTGGCTGTTGAGGATGAGGGAGACGCGGCGTTGCCTCTCCATGTCCTTCATGTCTGCCTTGATGTGGGCGGGGCGCTGCAGCTCCTTCTGGTATTCGGGGTCGTCCGGGTCAGGGAGGAGCTTCTCCCGGACCTCGTCCACGTTGTTGGCTAAGGACGTGTCCGCCATGGTGTGTGTGTTTGAGTGTTAGACGAGATCTACGAGACTGTTACGCTATGCCACGACTGCTGAAAAAAAAAAAAACATCACAAAAAGTTGAGAATGTGACTATCAAGAACAAATCTATGGGAATCTAGTCATGTAGTCAAGTAAGTGACAAATTATCCAGTGCCAATGTGAGCAACTATCTATTCAGATACATGTATGCGCACACACTCGCAGGTTCTACTGGAGGCAGTTACCATAACCAACAAATACAGTGCGTTGCATTTGAAAGTTAACGCTGCGAAAAGGAATGGGAAAAAAGCAAAAGGGATTCACATTCCCATTTTGACCAAAACTTCCCCCCCCTGCAAATTCGCAGCAAATTCACAGCGAATCGGATGCGAAAGGGTCGAATGACGTGCAAAAATCGTGCAAAAACGTTGCAAATCTCTTCCCTGGGAATAGAAAAAATGTGCTGTCTTGCTGTCTTGGCATAAAATAAAACTGGACGGAATAAAAGACATTGTCTTGGTGTAAAACAAAACAGGACGGGAAAAACGGTACTGTCTTGGTGTAAAATAAAACTGGATGGAAAATGGTATAAAATGATTTTTTTTTTTCACAAGAGGTTTTAATATAAAGCAGCTGTATTCACAAACAGGACTGCATTTGGAAAACTGTTTTCCAAGTGGCCATATTCTCTTAACTGTTACCATCCTAACTACAACTGATGATTTAACAGCACACAACAGCAATGCAAACTGTATCTCCTATCTGTACAATGTAAATGTTGGGGTCTCCATTGTGTAATTAGTTATTCAATTCATGCTTGTGCTTTGTGCTCCAATGCACACAACCCACAGACAAGCTACACATTTATTCAGACCCAGCATAGTGTACAAAGACATGCATGTACATGTACATGACTCACTACCCAGATAAAGAATCGTTGTGAATTACATGTACATATTTATGTGCACCTTCTTTTGCTTTGCAGACTATTGCATGTGAAATGTTCCAATTAAAAGGCATTAAGTAGACTCCCTGGTGGACATGTACATGCCTCTATTCACAATCACTCCGATTCAAAGTTAACAAATGCGTCTGCTTGCATTTCTCCTTTGTCCTTTCGACAAGCAATTTCTTCAATCCTCTTTATGTTCATCAGCCTTACCACACATGTACATGTACATTCCCTCTGTCCATGAACGCCATGCATAAATGCATGTTTCCAATTCAATCTATTACCCTTCATGTTCTAACTGGCCAGTGTACTCGTAGGTCTACACACCACACAAGCCCAATCAACCCTTTGTTCCAGTAACAAAGGCAGAAAGTGTTATGTAACACTCACTCTACCATAACACCTGGGGTTAGGCTTCTAAATGACCAGTCTGTCATTAACAATGGATTTACAGTACATTTATAAGAGATTAATCTTTAGCCACACAAATATCTTAAGTCCCCGTACTTACATGTACATGCGATTTACTTGATTGAATTATTAAATACTGGTATTTGATTGTTTGAGCATTGAAGAAAAATCTGAGCTAGCATGAATGTTCTGCACGTACCGGTATACATGTATGTACATGTATAGTCTTGTACAGCACAAACTTAAGTGACATGTACATGTATGTTACAATTACACGAGTTATCACGCATAAACCCCACAGGGTAAAAGACTAAGAATTTTGTTTAATCTTAAATCTTTCCAGAAACTGATAAAACAAACCATTCAACAGACCAAATTAGCCCACAAAAGGAAAAAAAAGTCAGTATTATTCCAATTCACTGAAATGGCACAGTGCCATAACATGACAGCTGCACATTATCTAGAAAATACAATGTTAATGCCCACTTACGGGTTCGGAACATGCAACACCATTAACACTATCAACGGTACCTTTGACCTGATCAAAGCTCAGCTTTAGAACATGTTAAATTTGTTAAGAAGTACACTAAATAAATTGCTATAAACCTTGGTCAATCATATTGGGCAAATGTGTACACAGTATTTTAACAGGAAAACAAACTATTAAAGTACTTGTGGTATACAGTGCAAACATTAATGCACAACACAAAATGATTCCCTCTCTGCAAAAATTCTTATGTCACCTGTACAACTTACATACATGTACATACTACTTCAAGGTACATGCACATGTAAAATAGTCAACCATCCCATCCTATTGACATTGCACCAATGTCTTGCTCCAAAGAAATCTAAAAGCTGCATGTAGAAATGCAGAGTGTACATGTACAAATATTGAAAAGTCAACAGAAAGTAGTTTGTCCAGCTAGAACTGAATCACTGAGAGTGAAATCGATTAGGACTGTAGTCTGTACACATTTATCAACCACCTGGAGTTAAGATAACATGCGGATTACTATTGGCATATATGCTTCCCGAGTTGGAAATTTAGTCAAATACCCAGCTTAAAACCTCATGCTGAACGTAAAATACTCAGTGATTTAACTATAGAGAAAGTACCATAAGTTTCTGTATTTTTCATGTTTCGTCAATTACGCCTTGCTCAGTAGAGTAACGTTCGTTGCGGACGCTACTGAAACTGATTTGCTGATGTTTGTCTGCGTACAGCTTTTCTGCTGCTCTGTGCATAACCATGATAAATTATTTAGAAAATCCCGAATCGACAGGAAAGACTTGAAGTGAAACGTGTTGTAGACCGAAATGTGCTACTGCCCAAGCACTGTACAAATGGATCGTTTTTGTGTGCAAAAACTTGGTCACCAGACTCCCTGAAGACAAGATGCAGTAAAATTGATTTTTAGCCTGCAAGGACCACGCTATTTTCATCGATTTTTGCAAGAATGGATAGAGCCCGAACTCCTCATCGAAAGTTCTGCCATATAAATGTGAAGTTTTCAGCAAGTTTTGATCAGCCAAACATGAGCATTTTTTCACGTAGCATTTTAGAGGCTTTCTGGTACATCTGCAAGAAAACTAGGTATCAGTTTTGGAAAAATTGAGTCTGAAACACCTCAGAAAGATTAAAGTTCAGATTGTGAGTGTGAACGCATTTGACCACCAAGCAATGACGTGCACCGTGATTTTTCGAATGGCCACCACCAGGTGTGTGCGCACGGCAGCCGGTCAACATGGCATCTGCAAGTGGTAGCCTCACATGTGCAGTACACGGGTAAATGCACACTAATGTAATGATATGGTCTCACGAGTTCATGGTTATCACTAAGTGCTGTTTTTTACTGTGTTTTTCAAGAAAAAAAAACAAGTATTATTATAATTACTAAGGCGAAAGGACTAATTTGCTTAATATTGGTACTCGGTTCCTCCTAGGGAGAACAGTACTCTCCCTCTCTTGAAGAAGAGTACAATAGGAAACATTACTGAGGGGAAAAGAGTACTGTACTCTACTGTAAGCAAGGAAGTGGGTATTTTACTCATGGCCTGAAGAAAATTATCTAAACCCCTGAACCACTCAGCATAAATTTGCCTGGACTAATTTCACGTCTTGTTTCATCCACTGTCTCAGAAGGGTTTGTGTCTAATTTCATCCTAGCTGAAAACATATATATTTTTTTAAATTTCACAATAGGCCTATTCATCGACAGTTCTCATAATGGTACATGTAAGCCTACAGGCTAGACAGTTCCACAAATACTGCTGCGAGTACTTAAAGAACATCGCTACAAACAAATTTGAATACAGGAACAGACAGGCAAAACTGTACTTATACCATAAATTTCAACATACAGTACATTGCAAACACACCCTTGTTTGCATGTCCCAAGCAGCTAGCACAGTCCAGAATCATAATCCCAAACACAAAGTGTGCTAGTTGAAATACTGGGACCCAGTTGACTTAGTCGGGACAATAAATCAATAATGCCTGGCCTCCCCTGGCCTCATATAATACTCTGGCATACATGTATTTCAAGGTTAGTATAACACTGAACACTGCAGCTCCACCACAAAGAAGTACATAAAGCTGGGCGTGACTCACCAATCTTCTTCACAGGGCAGGCAGTGTGTCCATAATATTGAAAGACTGAGGCATTATGAATGCATTCTACATGTACATCGTGAATATGACCTCACATGTATTACAAACACATCTCATGTTCATGTGTGTAACACGTACGGTACATGCAGCCCCGTTATGAATCCTTACATGTCTACATTTGTAAATTATAATGTACACTGTATTTGTACATGCACCGGTGGGTCCAATTAAAGAGTTGGCTTTGTACCAGATGCTAAAATAACTCAATGTACCAAAAATAAACATCAAATTTTACTGTTAACTAAATCTGTACATTACTTGATTAGTCCCAGAAACTGGGTTTCAGTGAAATCTCTAGACTTAAGGTATCTAGTGTTACAACCCCAACTCCAGTCTATAAAAAAAAAAAAATCCAATGGCTCACTGAGGATTTCTTTCCATCAGGACACAGTGGTAGTCCTTTCAAGATGTGATTCACCTGCTGCAGCTGAATCAAGCTTCGGGTACTACCGTAATTCAGTTACCCAACAATACAAAAAAACCCCAAAATGAGGTCATGGTCTAGCAAACGATTCAAAGAAATCAGGGTACAAAGACCAAATTGTAACACTAAATCAAACAAAAAGCCTGCCAAAAATAAATAACAATCCAGACAATTAAAGATGCAACACTACTGGCACCAGTTGCAGTCAAAAGACCACCCAGAACCGTACATGCACATGTACATGTAAAGTTAGATACATGTACATGCACTTCAAAAATTATCTTAAAGGCTTCAGGACATGTATGTACTGAGTAGTTTGTCCATACATGTAAATTCAAAACAAGGCCGAACCCTACAGTGCCAATCCACCAATGCGAAACCGGGAGTGGTACTGGTACATCCACATAACAAGGTGCCAGTCCAAGGTCGGGGCTTCAACAGAATGTCTGCCATCTGATTACAAGCATCACCAGAACCCCACAGGAGCCCACAGTAACCAATACTGAGGCAACAAGGGGCTTCCCAGTGGTAAATCTAAATCTCTACAATGTACAGGAGATCCCTGTGGCGCGGGCAGATCTTGTCCCAGGCTCACATTTCCCACAGT